TTGTAAGATTGCTAATGTAATCCTTGTACATTAATAAAAAAACAAAATTAAGCTAGTAGGAGAATGGGGCTTATATCACCACATACTAATATCTTAAATGAAATGGGCATAGCTTTAAGACTTGGAGTAGGGTTCATAACAACTGATTTGGCTTGTAGTCACCTCTTTACACTTGTTTTCTTGGTGTGCTGAACAAGAATTAGTGTACTCTGAATTAGTATGAGTACAATTCTGGATTGACTGACGTTATTTTGAGTTACTCATGCCTCTTTTATCATATTTATAATATTTTTTTGCCATAATGGTGTATTATTTCCAAAATGGCATGTTTGCTGCAGGTAAACAACTGGGAGCAGGTGCTTTTGGTGTGGTAATGAAGGCAGAAGCTTATGGAATACTGGACTATGAGGAGAAGACGACTGTTGCCGTCAAAATGGTAAAGAGTGGTGCAGACCGTGCATTTATTAAGGCACTAGCTTCAGAACTTAAAATCATGACACATCTTGGTAAACATCTCAATGTTGTGAACTTGCTTGGAGCATCAACAAAGAACCTGGCTAAGAGTGAGTTTTGTTTCTTTCTGTAACATGCAAATATTTATTAAAAGTATTGCCAAAAGTAAACATTATCGATATTTTTTTTCTATCAATTAAAAAAATGTGTTATTTGGATTTGGCATGGGTTATACTGTATGTAACAACAGAAATTGTTCTGAATTACTCTGTCAGAATATGCAACATTGTATTTTATTATGTGGAAGACAAAATTAATTTATGGACATTTAATATCACCAATATTTATAGTCGCTTGTAGGTGTGTGGAATACTTTCAGTATTTGAAGAATATAATGTCATAGTCACCATCATCTGTGCAATTACTGTCTTATCTTTTCATAAAATTGTTTCAAATAGAATATACCAAGTTTACTAATTTATTTTTAAAATACTACAAATTTTGTGTAGTTTGATAAATTACAAGATTACTGTTATAATATTTAGTAAAATGTTTGAGTTCAGCCTGTACCTTTAATTTTATTTAACCTCAGATTTTGAATGTGAAACATGTGATTATATGTATAATTTTGAAAGTCATTCATTCCTTGGCACTAATAATTCATACTATACTTCCAGGAATATATTACCTCTTGTCTCAGGTATTATTCATGTTGAAAACAATATGGCTGTCCCAGAAATATAGATTTTCTTTCTGATTTCATGACAGCGACTCATGAACTTCGCAGTTAAATGTATGGAATTAACATGATGAAAATTAGAAATATGTCAGTGCTTACAATCATGACAGTTCTCTTATATTTAGCCATGTAACATGATTGTAAACATTTTCATATAATGTTAGAAATTGCCAAATGCAGCCCACATTAACTTAAGAATGCTTTTATATTTCAACTGTCTGATATTATACATGGGGATATAAGGTGTTTGGTCAGGTGGCAAAAGTAGTTACTGTTGTAACATTCCTATGGACACTTCACATATATACTTATACAAATTCATTTTGCAGTGGAACTGATGGTTATTGTGGAATTTTGTCGGTATGGCAATATCCATAATTATCTTTTGAGACATCGGGATGACTTTATAGATCAGATGGACCACACAACAGGCAGGCTTAATCTTGCCTTAGGCATGGAAAAACTCTGCAGGTCGCAATCTTCCAAGAGCAAGATAAGGTAATAATTAGGATTTGAGGGTTTAAGGTAATAATGTTTACAAATATTTAGGTTCCCTCTTGTCCTTTTAAATCACATTTATAGATTAGCGATGAATGATGTTTTGGTTTCTGGAGTTCTTGTATTTCAGTTGTGAGTGACAAGTAAATATATTTAAATCACAACAGATATTTTAAAAATTACAGCCTACAACATACAGTTCTCTTGTGTCACCTATTCTATATTCTCTTACAACTTTATACAATGTGTTACTTTGAACAGTTGCAGCTACCATTGCATTACATCATTTCTATGATTAAAATAAATTCAAGAGAAATACCAAGGATTAAGTAGATTTGTATATCATGTTTTCCCATAAGAGAGCTAAAATTCTGCTATCTGTATGGAAAGAAATGTTAAAAATATCTAAGGAAATATTTGCAGTTTGTTGGCTGTAGTCATATATCATAGTTGCACAACTGGTAAAAATGTTTGGCAGAACTTTAAACTGAACATGTTTGTGTGTTCCATTCATCATGTTGAGTTCTTGTTCAGAAGTATATATTGACTTTGTTATTATTACTACACCTTTCATACCACGAAAGATATAGCATTGCTTATCAATGTAAGAAGTGTGTTGAATAAATTTAATTTTTCACATATATAAACATTCTAATCCTTAGACATAATTGATGATTATGTACATACATTTTATTAGATTAAAACTATGATAGTTCATACTGCTCCTTAGTAGATATCCTGTTAATCATTCACGTTTCTTTATTGTCAGCCTGAAGCAACGGCTGCTATCTTACACGAGTACTGTGACAGGAGATAGCTACTCTGGAGGCATAAACTCAGAACTGCATGCTCCGTCAACCCCAAGGACCACAGAGATGCCAGGACTCACCAGTGATATGGCAGTTGTGTCTTCCCCAACTGGTAAGGGCCCCTCTTCCTTCTTTGTTGTGTAACAGGATAATTGACAATCTTTAGTATTTTGAACCTTACAAAACATGGGTTCCTTATTTTGCTATAAGGATGTTGTGAACGCTGTGAATGTGTTTGGTAAGCAGCTGCAGAGAGGTGACGAAAGGTGGTTCTATAGTGTGGGTGTCGGACAGTATGCTAACAGCCCTTCACTTTATGAAGTGCTGCTGTGTTTTGTAGTGTTCAGTTTAACAGACTAGTAAATGTAATAGACATGGTATATTTTTCACCCAAAGAAAACAAAATATTAGCTAAAATGCATTATGCACATCTCATAACAGTTGTGTAAATAGCATATATAATTACATTTGTAAAGATACCAGAAGAGGTTCACACAGCTACAGTTTGTGAGTGATGTGTGTGTGTGTGATCTTATGATTGTTTACCATGGAGGAAACCTCAACGGAAGATAGGCATATACTGTATTTGTGTTACAGGGGAGCCGGATGAGTGCTTATTAAGCAACAGCAGTTCAGAGCAGCCGGACTGGCGTGTTAAGTATCGCGGTGACTACAAAGGATCCACCATGCCAGTGTGTTCACATGACCTGTTCTGTTGGGCCTTTCAAGTGGCCAGGGGTATGGAGTATCTTGTCTCTCGTAAGGTGAGGCAAATTTTATTAAAATAGTAATGTTGTTATGAGAGCTAAATTATTTGTGTTGCCTTATTGCATTATTTATAAACACAATAATGCTGCTGGGAAAGTCAGCATTTGAGCACAGAATAAGAAAATCACTTTTATTTCTCCAAATCACCAATTCTTGCTTGAAAACAGATCCTTAGAACTTAATTTTCACACTTTCAGGATTATGACTTATGCAAGAACTGAATTCGAAAACATACAGGTGGAGGGAGAAACTGATCTTTCTTCTCACAGTGGATAAAAGTGTGTTTTTCTGGAGGAGGAGTATACTTCATATGGTACACTCAGTCCTTGAGCTGTATATATAACTGGAGAAAACAGTTTAAAATCTTGGCATTGTTACTGTGTGCACCTCATTTACAATGTCTCAGATATTTATCTCATTATCATGTACATAAGTACAAAGTACTGCAATGCCAATTGCTCTGGTTATGAAGGCTTCCAGAAGGTATAGTAATCTGCTGTTTTAACTATTCCCATTAATCTTGCAGGTACTGCATGGAGACCTGGCTGCACGAAATATTCTTCTGGCTGATGACAATGTTGTGAAAATATGTGATTTTGGGCTGGCCAAGAGTATGTACAAATCTGACAACTATCAGAAGAAGACTTCTGTAAGTGACATATAAGTCTAATAATATCTGGGTGATTTTATGAATTTCTCTTTGAGCACATTTAAAAATTCTATATTAAATATTGTTTGCATTTACAGACATGGTAATGTTGGTGTGAAAACTTTCTTATGTTTGGATAAATCTAAGTAGCTTTCATAATAATGGTTAAATCCTTCTATCCTGATCACTGGAGGAAAGAGAAATAAACAAAGGAAGATTAGATAACATACCACAATGTGGCCTTAGATTATAACATGACAAGAAATAAACATTGTCCTGATCAGAACAGTTGTGTTCAGAGTATGAAAGGGCTGTTAAGCTTGTAACCATTCTAAGTTCTACTTCAGTGGAAGGCAGACTCTTCTTAGAGAGAACCAAATTGTTGGGTATATGCAAAATAAGTTTGCTGACTTGGAGTTATTAGGAATGAATTTGGCTTAAACACAATGTTCATTCCTTTTCAGGGTCCACTGCCTGTCAAGTGGATGGCACTGGAATCAATCAGAGACCGTATATTTTCCACACAGTCTGATGTTTGGTCTTTTGGTATTGTTCTGTGGGAGCTGTTCTCCCTTGCTCAGACCCCATATCCAGGTACCCTTTTGAATGATAAAATCCAATCTGAATTTGAAGTATAACAAATGTTAACTTCAAGCCACATTTTTACCTTATTCAGAATCATTAAAAATAACCATACTCCTTAAGAGAAGGTAATGCTCATTACATTTTTCTGTGAATTTGTAACTCTGAACCTACTAAACTATTAAAAAATATTTAATATTGTTATTCAAGCTTGTATCTGTGCTGTAGTTGCATTAGTTTCAGGTTATGAGTCATTCAATAATTTATTCTCAAGAAATTCTTTTAAGGTTCTCACTGCAGCAGGTGTGTCAATGGCCATCTTCTGGGTTGTAGTGCCATGCAATCTGGTAAATGTTTACCAGCATTTCAAGGATACCTGCTGCCTCAATCATCAGCACAGACAAAGCAGCATGCTACAACCCAGAAGACAGTCATCTTCATGTGTAGTTTACTGAAGCTGAGCATAATAGCTTAGTAGTCCTGTTATCAGGAGGTGCCTGGTTTAAGTCTTGGTTGTTACCAGCTATTAGAAATGGGGATTGTTAGGGTTTATTTAGCCACTATGAGTATATGTCAGGATAATATCAGCCAAAAGAGCCTGTGGACCATTTTCATCCTTTCCCTTTGATAGCATTTTATGTATTGTCATCCTTTCATTGGTTTTGGCAGTTCTGATTACAGCATGCTTTCTAGTTAAATGGTTTCTTGTGTTTCCATTTTAAATTACCTTAAACAATTAAAGTATAAGTAAAATACATTCTAAAAGAATTATATAATAATAGACTGCTAATGGGAACAAAAATTACCAATATGGAACTGGATTATATTTTTTGTATTAGTATAATTTTTTTAGAATTCAGTAACATGAATATGAAATGGAAGAAGACATACATCTCCTGTGGCACTATGTTGAATGATAAAGAATGTGTAACAGCTGTCAGTCTTCTACTAGAAATGTGCATCATCAAAATAAATGTTTGTTTTTATTATAAACAGGAATGGAGGCAGATGAAAGGCTATTCTTGAAACTTGTTGATGGTTACAGGATGGAACAGCCCCCATTTGCTACTAATGCCATGTAAGTACATCTAATCATATGTTGTCACACATGCCCTTTGTATCATGGAGTCATAGGTAAATCCAGTACAAACTATTGATCGTGCACATTTGGTATAGTTTATCCTCTGAAGTGGAATGAACCTTATTGGAAGGATGACTTGCAAAATTATATGAAGCTATATTTGTGAAACATAGAAATTACCCACCACCATAGAGCAAAGCTGTTGAAAAATTTGTTACAAACTGTTAACCTCTCAACAAGGAAAATTAATGTGTTTATGCATCATTGCAGGTACACGTTAGCTTTCCACTTGACTGATAATTGTTTTACAAATAATTCAATCTGCTCATTTATCTGTGCATATGCATTTACATTACTTTTTCTTTCCTTTATTTATCAACCCTATGACTGATACAAGAGAAAATAGTTTTAAATGTATTGTCAACATATTAATATAAAATTTAAAAACAAAATTCAAACTGCAAGTCTATTAATATATTTTATGGTTGTGCATTTCTGCTTGCAAATACACCAGATCCACTTACTCATGTGAGCAGGTGACTACTTTTCAAGCTCTGTTGGGAAAAATTGTGGAGTTTATTGGCTATCATGACACTAGAACAATGCGAACTGATCAGAAATTTATCTTTGTCATTGCTGTAAAACATGCAAGATTTATAAGATACCACAATGTGACAGTCATTTTAGGAAACTGAAGTAGATCTACGATGTCATTTTACTGAAAGTCAGCAAGGCTGCAACATAAGTTCAGTATTTTGCACTTAGGTATTGACTATTAAGGATATACATATGCATGGATGGTCTTGTGCTGGGGTTGTATTTAGTAGCAATGGCTATTACCACAAGTATTAATTACACAATTTACAACTATGTGTGTGATGTAGTTACAGGATGATGCTCCAGTGTTGGGATGCCTCTCCTGTTAAACGTCCCTCATTCCCAGAATTAGCAGAGCAGCTGGGAGCTATGCTAGATGATAGTATTAGAAGGGTGAGTTCCATTGGAGGCAGTTGTTCCCCAGGAGTTACTCAGAAAGTGTGCCCTCAGTTCCATTACTTTGTATTCATGTTAGTACCAGTACAGGATGGTTTGTTTACATACAGTAATACATAATAAATATAATAAATTCAAAATGATAACCTTCTTGGATATTGTACTGTGTAGTCTTGTATACCATTCATGTAGCTACTCATTACTTTACAGCACTATGAGGAACTGAACAGCCAATATGTGGACATGAATGAGCGAAACTTGCATGATGACTATCTCAGTATGATGAGTGCACCCAATTACAGCAACATTGTAGCTCCACAGGAGACTCAACACGAGTATGTCAACAGGTGGGTGTGGGGCTATCAAACTGAAAGCAATGATCATAAAGTACCAGTATTTCCCTTCAACTGTTTAGTTATAAGCAACTTATTTGAATATGAGATTTATTTTATGCTGGTGAAAATGTGGTTTGTGGTGTCGTGGTAGTATTGTAGGTTTTACAAACATTTTAAAGTAACAATAGTAATAATCCAATCAAACACTGGTAAAAATCTAACTTATCTGAACTTAATTTTCTGTAGTATTACTCATTCACTGTCACAAGAATTTAACATTTTGGTCTAACATGTACCCTTTTAAGCATGGTATTCATATTTGTTATTATTAGGCCTTACACTTTTATAACTCAAATACTCTGAAATTAATATTTTAAGTCAAATAAGATTTGCTTCAACTTACAATTGAAGATACAACAATAAAGATTGCCATATAAAATAACAAACTTTGTTAAGTCAAAGATACGAAGAGAGAAATTTTATCCAAGAATTATACAACTAATTTAAATTAAAAATGTTTGTAACTACATGGTAATGCTAACAAGAAAGATACTGTAATTGGGAGCCAGTTTGTAACTTATGTTAGACAGCTCCAGTATTTTGAAATTAATCTGTGCACATTCTTACAGTTCAACACTTATGCCATTATTATTACAGTGTGAAAAGGGAGGGGGGACATACGTTTAGTAGTAAAATCATGTTTGAAGTAGTTCAACTTCTAAGCTGTTGTTACACAAACATTACCTGTTTTCAGCCCAGATTCATGTCCTGATGACAGCCCAAGACAGAAAGTCAAGAGTCTGAAAAGTGTGGTGAGTCCACTTTTGACAGATAGTGTGTTTGACTTCTCAGGTGAGGCAAACAACACTGGGTATCTAACTATGACAGGCAAAGAAGATATTTTCAGCCCTGGCCATGTAGATGAGAACCCATTCAAGTACTCTCCATACATGCAGAAAGAACTACCAACAGAGATGAAACATCTTAAAGTAATTAATATCCCAAGTTCTGATAATTATGTGAATGTGGGACATAAACCCAGTACTGAAACACAATTTGAAAATCCAACCTATCTGATGGCCAAATAATCTAAAATCTAGTGGGAACTGGTAAGATTTGGCATTCTCATGGACAAGCTGTCTTCTGGGATGTAGCACCCTGATTATGAAGGCAGTAAGCACCTCTGAAACGCTGGTAAACTTATACCAGACTACATGAAGCAACATCCCAGAAGACAGCCATCTTCAAGACATTTGTAATCTCACAACAAGGAGCAATTATGTCATCATTACAGAAGTGAAATTTGTGATACAAATGAAATGTGATTCACATTTAATGTAAAATAGAGCTGGATTTCTTATAAATTACAGGGAGATGATGTACTAACACTAAAACACAAATTTTATGAAGCCAGTATATTGTTGTTTATGGCAGGATTGGTGGATGAGCCCTAGTGGCATGTGACTTACACCAGTTTCATGAAGATCTGTCAATTAGTGTAAAACTTAATAGACATACGGGGATGGGACAGATATGAGAGTAGAAGCCTTGCAAAATAAAGAAATGGTGCTAAAAATCTTTTACATGCATTTTTATGTCTTTTATTTTGTGTTCAGAAATACTGGACGACCATTATAAAGTAATGTATTTTTCACTTTGTTTCAAGGTCACAATAAAAGAACATTTGTTTGTCTACATTTTAAACAATATTACAAAGCTGATATGTACACTATTCGGAGACGGTAATCTTGTGCAACTTGTCAGCATACTCAGTGAACTGCTCTATGGCTTCACAATGTTTCTGCAGATTATCGTTGATGCTGTCATACCCATAATAGGCACCAGCAATAGCTCCTGCCATGTTGGCTATTGTATCTGTGTCGCCTCCCAGGGAGATAGCGTACTGGATAGTACGTCTAAATGGATTGTCTGTCTGAGAACAAGAATGTGCGTATGTTAATGACATAAAAGCAGTTTTCTTTTCCTCCTCTGTGGTCATCATTTCGAGGATTAGGAAGTCACTTCTACCAAAATATGGTCCTCTGGGATGTCATGCAACGTAATCTGGTAGATACCAACCAATGTTTCAGAGGAGTGTACTGCCTACATTGTCAGGGTGATATGTAATAGAAATGTTGGACTAGATATAGGAGCAGGTTGGACAAGGCACAGCTCTTGCCGCACCAATGAGAAAGGGGGAGGACTGGTAGGCCCGCCCTCTCTCCAGTCCCACTCTCTCCCTCTGGTCATATTTTTTGTTGTCAGCTTGCTCATCATCTTGATGATGGAAGTAGCATTTTCCTCTAAACATCCCAGAAGACAACCATCTTCATACTCATCATTGTCCGAACCATAAATCTCAATCGTACACACCTCAAGATATTTCTATTGGATCTGCATCTAATGTACTGTATATCAGATCAATATCAACAAGAAAACTGAGCACCTCTGAATCAGTTTAATTTGTTGCAGCTCCCATTTTATAGACTCATGAATTATACATACAAAATGCAAATCACACAACTATTACTAAGCATCATGGTACGAGACTAAAAGAGATTACCAACTTCAAAACTGATGCTATAAGTAATTCATAAGTCAGAATGTTCAAAAATGTGTTGAAATATAGAATTTATTTACAAGGACATTTAATAAGTATCTACTCAAGTAGAAGTGACATTATAATTCTAACAATGATATTCATGTCATGATTAATGAAAATCTGTCTGTTGGTTCAAAAGTTATTACGGGGAAGTTGTGGACATATGACAATTATGATATCATAAATCTATTTTTTCTTATAAACTAAGCAGGCTAAAAATATAATAATTTTCAGATAGTGATTTACACACCTCTATTTCTGGTATAGGTGTAAATGCCCTTAGAAAACAGAAGATTGCAGTGGGAACAGAGTATAGTGCAGCTACACTGTTTCCCAAAATGTTCTCAACCTCTTTATGATGTGCACCTTCTTCTTTGTCCAAAAGAACCTGCATTTTCTTTAGCTGTGTCTGATATGGATATGGATCATCTATGTTTAAACTTGACCAACCCCCTTTCAGGGGAGCTCAAACTGCAAAGAAATAACACCATGTTTAATGCTTTATTATCTTAGCGTTAAATACATGAGAAGTAACTACAGTTAACATTAATAGTAGGTTTGCTCAGTGGTAATGCAAAATACTGCTTACTCATCACAGTCCACTTCAATTTGGGACATCTTTTCTATTAGTCTGGATGAAAAATTCTGTACATCCAGTGTTTGTTTTGGATCTAAATGAAGACTCTGATGTACTGCAATAGCCTATTGGCAGAAAGATATACCAAAAATTAGACATACTTATCACAGCAAATGCAAAAATAATAACAGAAAACCTTGTATATAATAAGGACACACAAAAATCGCTGCAGCTAGGTATACCGATAATTCTAACACTTCCAGGTAATGTTTCTGACTCATATCTGACTGGGCACAAGCTATTCAGTCTTCCTATTTTCACTACCTTGAAGCAAGCACTAATTCCTTCCTCTACAACAGCTTTCCTAGTTTACTGTACTCTCATCCTATTTGATACCAAATAACCTTTGATATTTATTTACTTACTTGTGGTTTATTTAATGACAATCAGTAGCTCAAACTATACAGCATCACATGCTATGATTAATAAACTGAAAAGGACACATAAGGAAGTGGTTATGGCCAACTTTATGGTACTATCCTGAAACTTTTCTGGAGGTGATGAAAAAATCATGAGAAGCTTCATTCATTAGTTTGAGCCGAGTTCTCGATACAGAAGACTGTGTCCATCTAACACAGGTTTATGAATGCTTCCTTTCACAAACACATGAGGTTTGTGGTTTACCTGGAGAATTGCACCATCATAACCAGTTTTGTGTGTGTGAGTAAGTTCAGCAGATTGTCTGGCTAAATGTAAAAGTTCCTCATAATTGGAGTGACAAAACAGGGCTAGAGGAGCCACTCTCATAGCAGCACCATTTCCATATGAGCCTAACCCATCAAATTGCTCTTTTGCTGGACCAAAGGGATCCACAAACTTCTGTGCTCGCAATTTGTGGAAAATGTCTACAACCTGTTGTCCATATCCACGTCTTGGCTCATTGAAATATTCCTTCACAAATCTAAAACAACAAAACATTCTTAACATGGCTACTCATGCAAGTATCAACTATTAAATATAACACAATTTATAACTGTTTCTGCAACCATTATTGTGATGGTTAATGTTAACCTAGTATTCATCACTGGAAATTTAGGATTAAACCTAGGGCCAGAGGTCACAGACCTTTAAATTCACATAAAACACATTACAATTTTTGAAGTGTGAAAGTGACAAAATATTGGAGAATATTCTAATGCTTGTATTATAGTAGGTGTGAAATGCAGTGGATGACTGGCAACATGGTTCAGAACATTTCTGCATGCTGAATTGGTCAAAACTGCATATAACAAGAGTGGTGAAACAATATAGATAATTTAATGAATGTCCTGAAACTTCATTTTCTTGCCTGTCTAGTCAGAATCCTGCGGTATGATTTCCAGGTAATATTTATTTTCACATTACAATAACACTACCAACATTCATGTTTTGAGTTCAATAAATCTGAGGAAAAAGTACTGAATACCTGACACTTCCTCACCGTTTAGCAACGTCAAGGGCATCAAATTTCTGTTGTGCTATCAAAGATTCTGCAAGGCATTTTGTCATAGCTGCATCATCTGTATACTGTTTGACAGGTGCTACGAATATAATAAGAACTGGTAGACTATGGAATCCAAGTGACATATACTATACACTTCCCACATCAGGCAACACATTCAAATAAAAGTTTTAAATTTGTCATGAAAACATTACAAATATAACATCAATACGACTCTAAATATTTGTACATACATTTAAAGTAAGGTCCTTCCAGCTTATCAAAGTATTTCTGAAGTACTGTTTTAGAAATAACATAATCCGCTTCGTATGGAGCACCAAGACAGTCTCCTAACAAACAACCAACTAAACAGCCTCTGAACTTGCTTGCGAGTGAAATACTATCTAACAAGGCCATAATTTGATTACAATCAGTAAAAACAACAAGAAAATACGGAAAACCGCTCTAACATCATTGCTTTAATGCTAATTTTACACTGAAAGAACAGCAGACCAATTAGAGAGAGTATTTTCCATACAATATCTTGCACAGTCACGACACCGCAAACTGGTAGACCTGTTTTTACGCGTAAATACTCCGATTGCGATTCATACAAACAAACTTGCAGTTGGTAATTATCATTGCCACTGATTATTCATCAGAAACAAATATGAGCTGAGTCCAAACCAAGCATAAATTGATGAAGCCAACTGATACGAATAATATTCCCTTCTCCTATAAGATGGTTGCAAAGTCTCTACGCTTCAAACTGACGGTCCCTGTCAATGATTTGTATTGTTGGGCATCTATGTCGATTTTATCTGTGATATATGTTGCAGTGTGTAGCATATCGTCACAATCCAAGACAGAAGTGAACTAGAATATACAACAGGTATTCGTTTTGTAGCAGCAATAAGCTGCATAGCAGTGTTGTTTTTTTCTATGGTGTTGCGTGACTGAAGAAAATTACGACGATATTGAAGTTGGCGTCCCCATAAATAGGACTGCTGTAAGGAAGGGTTCGTACAAAAATATCTATTCATACTACAATGTTACTAGCTGGTAGGTCAATAGTCAGCGATTGCCGTTTCATGTAACAAAGGAAACAGATGGTTTAATGTTTAAGAGTGATTTTATTCACAATAATATGATGAAACATGATGTGGTATTTGAGAACGTGTCGTATCGTAAGGAACGAATTCAATAGGTACAGTTACTGAGAACTTAATATCTTATGAATATTTATAGTATGATATTTTGTAATGCAATATTTACGTAGTGTTAAATTGAGGTTAGGGTTGCCACACTTTTAATAGTTTTATTGTCAGGAATATTGAACCCTGAAAAGATTTGATATACACGAAGGTATCGACATATGGTTGTTTCTATTTAGTATAAGAATGCAGATTGTATGTGTACTGTGAAAATAGTTTAGCCATTTGTATGAAACAGAATGGTGAGGTTCATCAGTGAAAATGTTATATTCTGAAGTATCCTGTGTGAACCTTTGAGTTCCATACATTCAGATAATTTCTTGTTAAGCAAATACCAGCTTCTCAAGGATGGCTGTGTACTGTGGAGTTGTTTCTTTCTGAGATGAAAGTGTGTGCAGGAAAGTAGGCATATTATGTTCTGCCTATAGGGCAGAGTGGTAAAGCTGGGTAGAATATAATTCTTTTCCAAAATTCCAAAAAATTGTTGACCCCTATGAAAGGCTTGTAAAAGACTGGATGATGGCCATATATTTGAGTATACTGGTGAGCATGAGAAATTGTTGTTTCTTCCTTTTCTAAACAGAGTTTGTGCGAGGCTCTACACTACCAGGATGAAGGGTGTCAAACGTTGTGTGAATGATATCATCAAGTCAGCTGAAGATAAGCGATTATATCGTTGTCTAGAACTGCAAAATGACATGAAAGTTTTACTTATTAGTGATAGTAGTACAGACAAGTCATCAGCATCTCTGGATGTAAATGTTGGTAAGTGATATGCCATGTGATTGTTCATTCACAATGTTAATAATTGTGTTAGGTATATTTAATAGGCTGATATATTCAGGTGATTAAAATTTAAATTGTCATTATATTGCAACCAGTCTCCTGAAGATGGGAGTAAAAGTATCTCCTGAGACATTATGTATGTTAAATATACTTCAGACAATGGACAGTGTGCAAACATGTTAGTGTAATCAATAATTGTCATCTTAATTATAACTCTGTTAACCTAAAGCAATTGAGGATCATGAAATATCAAGACACTGGCAGCATAAGCCTTATAACAACAGAGTGAAATATCAAGGTGCTTGATATCTTGTTACCAAGGTATGTTCAGCACACAGCAGGCAAATGTATGCATTGTTGAAGAGTTCCACATTTGACATTAGATTGAAACAATTTTTTTAAAGACAAGAACTTGGTTTGAAGTGGTGTGACTTAGCAAACATATTGTATTAGTAAGGTTTTGATCTTAGAATTATACTTCATAATCCTTACGTTCTTATCCAGTTCGCAGATTTTTCCCTTTACTGCCTGGCATGATTTTGTCACTTCTAACATGCAGTTTTACATTTTTATTAAAATTCCCATGCTTGGGTCCTGTTATAGTGTGGTATATATATATATTCTGGTTTTACTCTGTGTTGAGTCGTGGACTTTGAAATTTATGTAGACTCTAGTATCCTTAGCAGCTACCCCTAACCAACCCCCCTTCCTTCATGCCTGCCTCACTCCCTCCCACATGCACATACACATGCGCGCGCACACACAAACAGTCACAAATTTATAATTGTAACAGAAAATCACTTTCTTATGTTAGTGTTGCAATGAATCAGCTACTGAAGCAACATCTGTCATCTCATCTCTGGCTTTACAACGCAGTTTGGGTCTTGGCCGCTTCTTTTGGAGGTTGCTTGATCTGTTTATACATTTGATAGGACACCTGGGATGAGTGATCTGCCTGTTGCAAGGCCTGTACCTGTACACAGAAAGACTGGACAAACATCCATGCCTTGAGTGGGATTTGAACCCATGGTCCCAGTGTCCAAGAACACAAGGCCCATGCCTGAGACTGCACTGCAACTGTGACTAGCACTGAAGTAACATACAAAGGATAATTAGCACTGAAATTTAACTCAGAATAGTGATTTTTTAATGTAAACATTGTAGTATATGCCCACAAAAATAGGCAAGATGATATTTTCAGTTTAAACAGAAGTATTGGATTTATAACAAAATTTTGAAGGAAATATATGAGATATATACAGGATATGAGGGATTTATGTGTGTGTATGCATATTTGGGAATCACTAATTTATCAATAAATTGAAATCCACCTTATGTATTGTATACTTTACTAACTTTTAAATACTTTGTGTAGGTCACATGAGCGACCCTTCCCGCTTGCCTGGTCTGGCACACTTCTGTGAGCACATGCTCTTCCTAGGAACAGAGAAGTATCCCTCAGAGAATGAGTATAGCAAGTTTCTGTCTGAACATGGCGGTGGTTCCAATGCCTGTACATATTCGGACCACACGAACTACTACTTTGATGTCGTGCCGGAACATTTTGGAGGAGCATTAGATAGGTGAGTGAATAGAATTTCCAGTCTCCTCTGTCTGTAAATACCGTAGTACCGCAACAGTTCTTAGAAACTTAACAATATGACTTCTGTGGTTATATAGTTTGGATTAATCTATGTGCATATGTGCTGCCAGAATCATAAATTTCCAAACAAGGACACTGTTTCAAATTATTTTCTTGTGAGGCTTTGTAGAAATTCCTTCCACTTTCTTCTAGTCTGTCGTATAGAGGAAAGATTGTAGTATGTTGTAATGTGATGGCATACAGTGATAGAAATCAGTATTTTAAAATTAGGGAGTTTCCTTGTTTATAAACAGGTATACTTTGTGAAAATGGTTTGATACAAGAGTGGAAAGAATAGCTGATTCAGATTCTAATATTGAAATAAACTCTGATAATAGGAGTCAGAGTGATTCAGTTTATATTGTAGATGCTGACTGTGAAACATGTATGCAGAAAGTATCTCATAATTAAGGACTTATTAGGAAGGAATTTATTTAGTCAATACTGATAATGAATGTTTAAAATGTGTGTAAGAAGTTTAGTGTAAATTGGAATAATAATTTGTAAGTAACAACTTTTTATAAAAACATATTTCTGAATAAACAATTTATAGCACAACTTTGGCAACAATATAGAAGGGAAAATTAGATATGAGAGGCAGTCTTAGTTTACTTTAAGAGTGATAATTGGCAGCATTGAAAAAGGTGTCATATATAATACTGGTATTGTTGTGAGTTCAGGGTGGCTGTCAGATGTATCCTCAGATCAAGAATGGCAACTCTCATCTACATATTCCACATTGTTTATGACTATTATGCCATTTTCTACTCAGTACTTCACCTCTGCTATTTATATGGAATTGTTAAATAACCATAGAAACAACTAAAATCAATCACTTTGAGAGATATATCAGTATGCAGTTTATGTTTTATGATGAGCCCACTTCGAGAGATATATTAGTATGCAGTTTATGTTTTATGATGAGCTTTATCTGTTATACTGATCTGTTAATTTCTTTCTGACTTAGGTTTGCACAGTTCTTCTTATGCCCCCTTTTCACGGAAAGTGCAACAGAGCGAGAAGTGAATGCTGTCAACTCAGAACATGAGAAGAATATTCCCAATGATTCGTGGAGACTTGATCAGCTGGAAAAGTCTACTGCAAAGAAAGACCATGCTTTTAATAAATTTGGGACAGGTACAGAAAATTTGCCATGTTTATTCAAAAATCTTTTATATGCATTTATATGTCTTTTATTTTGTGTTCAGAAATACTGGACGACCATTATAAAGTAATGTATTTTTCACTTTGCTTCAAGGTCACAAAAAAAACATTTGTTTGTCTACATTTTAAACAATATTACAAAGCTGATATGTGCACTATTCGGAGACAGTGATCTTGTGCAACTTGTCAGCATACTCAGTGAACTGCTCTATGGCTTCACAATGGTCCTGCAGATTATCGCTGATGCTGCCATACCCATAATAGGCACCAGCAATAGCTCCTGCCATGTTGGCTATTGTATCTGTGTCACCTCCCAGGGAGATAGCATACTGGATAGTACGTCTAAATGGATTGTCTGTCTGAGAACAAGAATGTGCGTATGTTAATGACATAAAAGCAGTTTTCTTTTTCTTCTCTGTGGTCATCATTTCGAAGATTAGGAAGTCACTTCTACCAAAATATGGTCCTCTGGGATGTCATGCAACATAATCTGGTAGATACCAACCATTGTTTCAGAGGAGTGTACTGCCTACATTGTCAGGGTGATATGTAATAGAAATGTTGGACTAGATATAGGAGCAGGTTGGACAAGGCACAGCTCTTGCCGCACCAATGAGAAAGGGGGAGGACTGGTAGGCCCGCCCTCTCTCCAGTCCCACTCTCTCCCTCTGGTCATATTTTTTGTTGTCAGCTTGCTCATCATCTTGATGATGGAAGTAGCATTTTCCTCTAAACATCCCAGAAGACAACCATCTTCATACTCATCATTGTCCGAACCATAAATCTCAATCGTACACACCTCAAGATATTTCTATTGGATCTGCATCTAATGTACTGTATATCAGATCAATATCAACAAGAAAACTGAGCACCTCTGAATCAGTTTAATTTGTTGCAGCTCCCATTTTATAGACTCATGAATTATACATACAAAATGCAAATCACACAACTATTACTAAGCATCATGGTACGAGACTAAAAGAGATTACCAACTTCAAAACTGATGCTATAAGTAATTCATAAGTCAGAATGTTCAAAAATGTGTTGAAATATAGAATTTATTACAAGGATATTCAATAAGTATCTACTCAAGTAGAAGTGACACTATAATTCTAACAATGATATTCATGTCATGTTTAATGAAAATCTGTCTGTTGGTTCAAAAGTTATTAGGGGGAAGTTGTGGACATATGACAATTATGATATCATAAATCTATTTTTTCTTATAAACTAAGCAGGCTAAAAATATAATAATTTTCAGATAGTGATTTACACACCTCTATTTCTGGTATAGGTGTACATGCCCTTAGAAAACAGAAGATTGCAGTGGGAACAGAGTATAGTGCAGCTACACTGTTTCCCAAAATGTTCTCAACCTCTTTATGATGTGCACCTTCTTCTTTGTCCAAAAGAACCTGCATTTTCTTTAGCTGTGTCTGATATGGATATGGATCATCTATGTTTAAACTTGACCAACCCCCTTTCAGGGGAGCTTGATCAAGTGTTTAAAAAGCAACCAACCCCTTCGGGGGGGTTGGTTGCGTTTTAAAATCTTGAGTAAGACACTAAACTCGGCATTGTTGGGTTGTACTCGGCATTGTTGTGTTCCACAACAATGTCGAGTTTGTTTATAGTTGACATTGTTGATGACGTCATTTTTTGACGACGACGAAATCACAAATTTTTATAGTAGACTTTTTCCCGAATGACCCTTCTGTATAGACATATTTACGTCAAAAGAACAAGAACATACACAGAACCGCTTGCCTTAAAATGATATTTTATGAGACATATGTAAGTGTTTTCTAGTTCAGGTATTTTTAATTGTTGGTTAAGTAGTTCCTGATTAGGTTTTTATTAACTGAATGAACTTTAAAGTAACGTTCTTATATCTTCAAATGCCCCACTCTTTCTTCTTACTAATCCAAGACTAGCTGAACCTATCACCAGTTTCCTGTACCTTTCCCTTACTAGTCTGAACTTTAATGTAGCCAATTTATAATCTGATGTCTTGATATTTGTTCACAGGAAATAAACAAACTCTGGATATTATACCAAAAGAAAATGGAATCAATGTACGTGAAGAACTATTAAAGTTTCATGATACATGGTACTCATCCAACATCATGGCATTGGCCATTTTAGGGAAAGGTACATTATTTCTTTTCATTAATGAGAACTATGTGATGTAATGATATTTAGTAATTTATTTAATTATTCACAGTAGAACCCAGTAAATGAACAGGATGCAAGATGGTAACAGGGTGAAGAACTGTGGCAGTGCTAAGCATACAAAATGCTCAGGCATGTACATGATGGGTGAGAAGTACCTGTTATGTTTGTATTTTGAGTGGAATGAACACTATATCACGCTGAGACTATTTACATATTCAGTAGGTAATTTCAGGAGAGTACCTGTAAGATCTAAGTCTTAAAAAGAGGCCTCGTAAGCTCTGCCATTGGCGGCAGAAAAATAATATGGCTCAGTTACTGAAGCTCTAGAAGTGTTGCACCACATTGTTGTGCATTCATTGTGTAGAAGTTTGTGGTACTTCTATGTACTTTTATTATTTCTTTATGTAAATTATAACCTTGACATGAACTCCATATGATATACTAAGTTTTTAAATTAATTTGTAGTACTTATTTGTGACCCACTGACTGAAATATATGCAGACCATCACAGTGGTTCAGAATGTATGTGCACTTTATTATTATAGGGAAATTTTTGCAAATTATCCTTCAGCTTACAGTGGTTTTAAAACTTTGCATACCGCGTAGTGTATTAGAATATAGAATGAACAAACAACTATTAACACTATAAAAGACACTATTGCCATACGCGTTTCAACCTCAAGAGGTCTGTTCATTCTATATTACAGTGGTTTATTTGTGTTCATTACCTACAAAGGTTTTCATGTCAGACAGTGTTGTCTGTAACATTGTCCCGTGCTCCTGGATTGTCTTGGGTTGTGTAATAGTGGTTTCAAGATTTTATTTTTATTTTGCACCATGTTGTGTTTCTGTAGGGTTATTTATTACTGTTTTAAATTATTTTAGTCTCCTTGATCATGAAAGATTGAACTGAACTTTAAGCCTTGTTGGCTTTATATTTGCCCACTCACCCATCTTAGTAAATTTTCCATTTTTGTGGCTGTACCAGTTACTGTTATTATGTCCTAGAAACTAGTAGTAGAAATTCTCTTTGTGGCATTAATGATTATGATGACAAACAAGAACATGTATTGATACTTAACAGAAAGCTTGGATGAGTTAGAGAGGATGTCTGTGGAACTCTTCTTGGATGTGAAGAACAAGAATGTCACAGTCCCAAGATGGACTGAGCATCCATTTGGTCCTGAGCAGCTTCAGATGAAAGGTTATATTGTTCCAGTGAAGGACATCAGAAATCTTAACATCACATTCCCAATACCGGATCTCCATGAATATTATAAAGCAGGGGTAAGTCAATATGGGTGTTGTTTGATGATTTAATTTTTAGAGAAGTAAAATTTGGTTTATTATTTTGTTCCTGTTTGTTAATCATGCTTCATCTGGTACAGAGATTATGTAATGTCAGATGAAATGTAAAGATCATTTTGAATGATGAATTGGAAAGAAGAAAGCAGTTCTGATGCACATCAAACTTTGGTTCATCCTTCATCCATATGGACTGGCAAAGATTATAAAATGTGTGTTTTAAAATCAAGTATTCATTATGATTGTTATAATAACCACTAAACCACTAAATATGGTAGTTAGTGTTAGATTACATAATGAAAATTGTATTTTCCTACATGTATCTTATAATAATTTGAGCCATTTAACCCCTAATTGTCATCGGACATGCATATTGACCAATTGATTAATGAACTGTGTCAGATTTTAATTTTTAAACTTTTATAGTGACTGAATGCAATGAAGTCATCTCAGGTTGTCTGTCATCTGAGAATCCAATATTTCTCCAATATGCCTCCAGCGCCAACTCTGCTGATGGAGGCAGAGACAGTTTCCAGAATATTAGATTACAGTCCCATTCACAAAATGGCTGATCATTTGAAAAGATTTCATTTTACTTAATGAATGTTGATGATAATTAATAGGCAGTAGCATAGCTACTTTATCCTACTTTGACTTATTATTTTTTGTAGTTGTTCTTGAGGTTTAGTTACATTATTTGAAATTAAAGCAAGTGTTTATGAATGTGATTACCTTGATCCATGTGCTGTGAGCTCATTCTTGATGTTGCAGCCAGGTCATTACCTGAGCCACCTGTTTGGTCACGAGGGTCCAGGGAGCTTGCTGTCTGTGTTGAGAACGAAGGGTTGGTGCAACAGTCTTGTGGGTGGTGCTCGAACAGGTTCACGAGGATTTGGCTTCTTTGGTATCAATGTTGACCTCACAGAAGAAGGGATTGAACATGTCGATGATATTGTCAAACTTGTATTTCAGGTGAGTAGATGTGTTTCTACCTATGGATATGGAGTTAAGACATGGTATGACCTGTTAGGGTAACATCATGCAAACCTGGATAATATAGACAAAAGAAGGAACTTTTACCACAGAAGTACAGAATTAATATGCCTTTCATTACAGAGCAAGGAAAATATGCAAAAATTATAAAGATGTAATAAAATAGTATTTTACATCCTGGAAATTTAACAAGCCAATTGAAGGTGCATAGAATATTGAGGCAATTTAAAATGTGTACATGGAAGAGTAATTGAGACTTTTTGAATGAATATGGTAAAACAAACTAATCTTTGAATTGTGATTAAGGTCCATTGTTTTATTTGTTGTCAGTATGTGAACATGCTAAAACAAGATGGACCAAAGGAATGGATTTTTCAAGAATATAAGGACATTATATCCATGCATTTTCGGTTCAAGGACAAGGAATCGCCAAGAAGTTATGTATCAAACATAGTGCATAACCTTCATGTAAGTAAAAATTTCCATATGTACTGCTGTCATAATTAGTTTTATAGAAAAATCACCTTGTAAGACTATGCGACCTTTGTCATAGTACATAAAAATAAGGTTAACATATATTTAAAGAAATATTTGTTTCAGTAAAATAAACCATATTTGCTCTGTCATATCTGGTATCTCCAGTATTTTTACAGAAGGCAGAGAGAAAAGGAAATCCATTTATGCAGCATTGTATAGCCTATAAATTTGAATGAATATCATGGTTGCGCAGATAGCAATCCTGCTTTGTACTTTGTAGGTCTCAAGTTCAAATCTTGGCATGGAGAGTAATTATCCTGACCAAGGTTTTTGGTGGTTTGTCTTGGTTCCTCCAGGCAAATACCAGAATATTACTTGAAATTAGTGCATCCATATGATATCCAATTCATTATTCATTAATTAACTTGTTATTTGATGCTATATAGTCTATGCTACTGTCAGCAGAAAAACAATATTTTGCCTTCTGGACCAATAACCACAGTGTTATGAGAGAGAATAGTGTTGGGTAAAATGTGCTTGACTGCAAGTTTTGCAGATTGTGTTTAACGTATAAATTTGGCTTTTGGGGATAAGCCATGTTAATTTTAGAAAGTTTGGAATCTAGTGTCTTTTGGAGTTAGGAATTTTCTGGTTTTAATGGTCCTAGACAGTTGTTTTTCAGTTTATTTATTGTTTCACAGGATTATGACTAATTACTGTGATTGTGGGGTTTACGAGGAGGGCGCTGAGTTTGTTGGAGTAGTTTAAGGGGTCTAGGATGACCATGGTGTTCTCCTTGTCTGCCAGTACTGTGCAGATTTTCTTGTTATCCTGGAGTTCTTTCAGGGCTATTTGTTCTTGTTGGTTGAGGGTGGGTTAGGGAGGATGACATGGCTTAATTGCAGAAGCTGAAATTATACAGTGTTAAACATTGTTCTGAGTTGAATAAATTTCTATCTTTTGTGTAGGATTATCCATTAGAAGAAGTATTGTCAGGCTGTTTTCTCATCAGCGACTGGAAACCCGATCTCATAGAGATGGTGCTGGGGTATCTTACTCCTGAAAACATTAGGTAATATGACAGTGAAAACAATAATTATACAAGAAGGACCAAGTTATATTCAGCATTTTTTATATTTGTGGAGGCTGAACATAACCTTAATTTGTTCTGGTTGTAGTTCCTGGCAGACACAACCACATTGATGTATTGAGTTTGTTTAATGAGCCACACTCAGCTATTCTGCTCAAAGCATTCATTTTTATTGTTTAAATTAACCAATCTTTATTTGTTATTAAAGGTTAAATGAATTCTTGATTGTGGACAGAGGATATTTAAATGAGAACTCATTGTTTGCTTTGTGTCTGTATCTCATAAGAAACTGGCACATAACAATTTAACTTGTTGTTTAGGGTTGCAGTTGTTGGCCAGATGTTTGAACCTGTGTCGAATGAAGTAGAGAAGTGGTATGGAACAAAGTACAAACTGGAGAAGATACCAGAATCAGTGCTAGATGTGAGTTTTCTGACAGTTATCAGCTGTTAACTACAAGCTGAGTAACTTTTTATGTTGTATGTTCCTCATGCATTTGGAAAACAGAAAACTATATGTGTTGGGCTTTCCTACAGGGATTGAATGTCATATTTCTTGTAAGGAGAATATTTTGTATGTATTTGGTTTTCTCTGTTTTCAAAACCAAGTGACATATTCTTGTAAAATGTTGTAAGAAACCCTTGTTAAGATTTATTAATGTATTTCATATTTGATAATTATGACATTTTTTATTTGAAGCTCTTTATCAGTATTGTATTTACTTCAGTAAGTTTTCACAAAATGTTTTAAACAAAAGTCTTACAGTAGTTTGTGTATATCAGTGAAATTTTGGACAGCTTTTCACATAATGATCCATTTGTTTAGAAGTTTGAAAACATTATAATGAGGGACTAAACTTGTGTTATGAAAATACAGGGTCGTGCCATAGTTCAAGTGGTTAGTCTTCATTTTCTCAGTGCAACAGTCTGTGTTTATACACAGAGATGAGAAAATGTTTGCAAAACTTCAGTTATCAGCCTGAAGGAAGGGGACTCACTCAGAGCATAATGTTAAAATGAATCTTACAGAGGTAGGGTTGGAGACTGTGGACTGGATTCCTCTGGCTTAGATTAAGGGCTGGTGGTGAGCACTTGTGAACTTTTTGATTCCATGAAATATGAAAGGCTGGATAATTTCTTACTACCTGATTATGCTATGAGTTTCTCAATAAGGGCTGTGCTCCATGGAGTTAGCTTTAAAGTTATAGGTAAAGGACTTATTTTGCATATAACATTGATAGTAATGGAAGGATCAATTATTCCATGATTATCAGAATACCAAACTATTGTTTAGCTGAGTGTTATCGCAACAAACTTTCCATTGTTATTTCTGTACATTCATGTGGTTTCGACTGTTTTCATATTCTTGTGTGCAGGAGTGGAGGAGTCCTAACTTGTGTTGTGATCTGAAACTACCACCAAAGAATGAGTTTATACCAACAGACTTTGATTTGATGCCACGTGAAGAGACTGTAAGTATAATAAATATATTTACAATATTATTTTATTTGCATTGTATAAATATTACATCAAGGAGTAAGTTGGTCTAAAATTGAAGTTAAAAGGTATATTTTATTACACTGAAATAACAGTTTTACTGTTAGCTATTTGTCATTATGTATTGTCTGTTGTATGAACTATAATACTATATTTACTTGTGAAAGTTTTATTTGAAAACAGAGGTACAATCTATTAATATATGCAGATCAGTCCATTTTCATGACACACATCTCAGTATGGCCCTTTAGTTCCTATAATCTCATTCCTTAACAAACTTGCAGCAATTGAGAGGCCACATGTGAACTATTTTAACATGAAAGGTTCTTCAAAATAGAAATTGTAGGAAACATAAAACCTGCTAACAGAACAAATCATGTTACATTGATTTGTCACAACTATGTTTTTCACAAAATGTGTTATTTCAGGAATTTTAACCCGTCAACGTGGTGGTTTAAATACCCCGCATATACCGCTGTCGTGCTGTTCCTGCGGTAGTATTTTTTAAATGCCCGTTTAAATTTTGCTGTAAAATACTCTTTTTTCATAACTTTTGAACTATATGAGATATAATTATGAATTTTTCACCGAAATCCTCTTAAAAGATGGTTTTATAATCTTACCTTATAAGATGAGATGTGTGAGCAGTGGAAGCAAGTCGATTAGAAGTTTAGTTTCAGAAAAAAACGGAGTGTACACCAGCCGGTTCTTTGAATAGTAAGATCTACGTGTAGGCTTTTGCACAATGCCCATCAACATAAATAGAGCCAAAAGAACGTAAATTTCGTCCACTGTAACATCTTGCCACTTCCTAATCCTAGAGCGAAATGTGAGAGGATTGGCACTTTTTGATATTTCTTGCTGAGCATATCTGTTGGTTTGATCAGCAATGTGCTGCACAAGTGCTATATCGAAAATATTTTCGAATGAACTCACGACATCTAGTTCAGCAGTGTCGAACTGGGGACCACATACATTACAAAATGCTTCTCGTGAAGCAGGAAATGAGTCTATATTTTCCCACAAAAACTTGTTGGAAACCACACCTGCATGTACGATGTCGTCCTGTCGACCACGTCTAGCATTATCACAATCAATATCGCTAAACACGACAGTTCCCGGTGTCACAAACTGTGTATAATCAATGTCAAATACACTATCATCGTCCAAACTATATTCACTTATACTCTCATCTTCTAAAACTTCATTTAAAACTTGTATTTGGTCTAGCTCCGTCAGAGGACGACTTGTCGAAGGGAAAGCCATTGTAAACTAACAGGTCAGGCGTTTATTTTTAGACCCTCCGGTGCAGGTCATTGGAATGTGACCCTGTTGCCACATGTATACATATAGAGCTCTATTTTCACAACAGGCGAGAACAAACCTCATCGCGCTGGCGTTATTTATTCCATACTTATGGGCGTTTTAAATTAGGCTTTGAGGCTCGCGTGTTTATACGTAAATCCACAAGAACTTTAATTTAAATGCCCGCGTGTGTACACGTAAAACCATGTCTGAGGGTTAAGTAAAAAGAAAAATGTGTATTTATAAAATGAACTTTGAATATACAATGAAAATAACGTGTTCCACTAGAAACAAGCCTAATCATATAGTTACACCTCATTAACAGTGCATTGTTGTAACTTGAAGTATAAATCAACGTACATCATGTTCCACATGAAAAGCATTAGTTTAAACAGCTCGAGAAAGAAACCACATTTGTAAAATCCCTACACAGCTCAAAGAAAGCCAGAAAGCTAAACATCAGGGATATGTATGCAATAAGAATACTTATGTTTCTCATTCATGAATGACATATGTTACTGAGTTAATGTAGATGTCCTGTTACATGTTTGTTAAAATCACCTGTGAAAGTAAAATACCTGTTTCCACATGTTTGATAACATTTGAAATGGACCAAGTGTCTTTCAACCACAGGAAGTCATCTGCTTTTGGGGCTTGTGTGTGTGTCTTACTTGGGCGTGCTTGTTTTCGTGAGAGGGATTTAGTGTCTTCAGCCTTTTGTGTCTGTTTCACTGATGACAGATTTTCTCATCCTGCTGCTTTTATCCACCTGCCTTCAACCCATTTAACAACTTTTAACTCAAAGATATTGTGAAAGGTATCAGACTGTTTACACATACTTTACTGGCCTTACTATGAGTGATCAAAGTGTGTCTAACTGGGACTGGTACAGAAAGTAAAGGTGACTTTTTTCCAAAAATTGTTTAATGCTACAAGCATATAAGTCATTAGCTATGCTAATTGAAAAACACACTTGATCTGAATGGAACAGTGATACTTAAAGTGATAAAAAACCTCTTGTGGAAAATTAAGTAACACATTTTCTTCTACAAAAAGAGAAATCTTTATGATTTGTTTGCTTATATGTGTGTAAAATATGATAATTGATAACTCATATGTGAATTCCTGTCATATAGTAGGTTGAATGTTAAGTTTTTGATGTTGCTTTCATAGCTTGTCTGAAACAAACTTTATTCTGAAAGCACTTTTGTTTACTAAGTTCCTACACAATTTCAGGCACCATTGTACCCAGTTATTATTCAGGACACACCACTGTTCAGGGTATGGTTCAAACAGGATGACGAGTTTCTACTGCCAAAAGCTAACCTGAGCTTTGAATTTGTAAGGTTAGTGATACTGTTTTTGCAGATTTCAATTTCTGATTTAAGGCTTCTTTGGGAGACAGTGAATTTGGATACTAAGTTGGGAAATGAAGAAAAAAGAGATGATAACCTGAAATTACCAAATATGGGATTGGTGAATGAGTAAATACATTAAATCAAGGAACACTAAATGAGGATTCCACTGTGTTGTACATAGTGAACTCATTACAGCATATAGTAATTGTTTCCTACCTGAAATATTTCTTTGATATAATGTTTTATTTATTGTGTTGTAAATTTGTGATTTCTATGTCTTTTCTGTTTCTGTGTTTCCTGTAGCCCATCATCATATTTTGTTGTCACCTCCATTCTTTTCATAATTATTATTGTGTTTATTCTCCCAGAGGTTGTTAGCAGTAAACTGTTCAAATGTCTCTGTCTGTATGTACATTTACTCGAAACAACTAGGTGGGTTTTCGTTTAATTTTACGTTGGGCAGTTTTATTGAAATTTGTTAACGCATTCCATTGTTAGTCAAAATTGGACAACTATAACAAGCACTTTACATGAAGTCCTGGATGTATTCCTGTGTACCAAAGTGACTGGGTAGAGAATCTCCAGGCTTGCTTGGTAACTGTGCCTATTTTGGTTACCATAGTTATTGTATGTAAGTTAAAGTTCAAAGGTAAAATTCTGGTGAATGGACCAGAACTGTTACACTATGCTTATATTTCCTAACTTGTGCAAGAATTCTTATTGGAAGTGTTGATATGCAGGTTTTGAAATATGCTGTAGATCTCATATATCTTTTCTCAGAAATAACTGAATCGTTTTTGTGCATTTTCTTTACGTATGAATATAAGGTGATCTGTTTTTGAATGAGAATAAAATTAAAATACTTACCTTCTTGTTGGGTAAATATTCTAGTATAATTTTATAAGTATTTTTGTGAACATTTTTTAAATTTCTGAGTTGGTTCTGTATGCTTTGTTGTGTTCAACAGTCCACTGGCATATTTGGATCCCATTAGCTGTAACATGACGTATATGTTCGTGCAGCTGTTCAAAGATGCTCTCAATGAGTATGCGTATGCAGCTGAACTTGCAGGAATGAAGTGGGAGCTCACTAACACCAAATATGGCATGATTGTGAGTACTTTTGCTATTAGAAATGTAGTGAGATTCAGTGACATGACTGGGGATTTGTTTCAGAATGTTTAACCAACTTATTCATGCATTCACTTTGAATTTTCCCTCATCTGTCTCTTTATTGTGTGTGACCTAATGATTATGTTCCTGGCTACAGGACATTACAACTTCAGCAGCCACTTAATTTGTCTTTTTACTTTGGGAGCACAGATTGAATATGTGTGTAACATTCCTATCATAGGTCATTCATATGAATAAGAAAATTGTTTGAATTTTAGACTACTTATAGTCTTCATATTTATCATTGTTAACCCTTTTACTGCACATTATTTTCTCACCACATTCCTGAAGTAATGCAATTTTAATGAAAAAATATGAAAGATTTTCAATATATATATATTTTTTCCCCCCAATTGTAATCCAACATTTTTCTAAAACTTCATGTCAACCAAATGTATCTTCAGAGCTCACTGATTGTAGTTGAATGACAAAAGGAGAAAATTATTTCTTGATGTGGATTAAAGTTGAATGTTGCGCTATATGATAATTGATGCTAGCTTGTCGTGAGTCTAGTATTGCAGCAATAGTGTTAAAGTCTGATATTTAAGCCATTGACTTATGACTTTTTCCATCAGTTTGATGATTTGTTTTGAAAATTTGTTAAAATGATTTTAGTATCCTTCAGAGAAGTATGTATAAACTAATGGACATGTTTTACTTTTGCACAATTTATAACTCATTAGTTTCTGTTTGCAATAGAATAAAACTGGCGTGAGTAGCATAAACTTGCTTGTAGGATTAATTTGAGTACAGTATACAGCATTATTTTCTTCCAGGAAATGTAAACTGAGATTGCCTATGTCTGGCAGCCCCAGTTTTTTTTTATTAATTTTGACCAGTTAATACTTTATAAAGCGCTGTTTGAGGTTTTCATGGCTGTAAAAATGTCAATGTTTTTCTGGGTTATGGTGTTGTGTGGACTCTCAAGTAGATATTAGCATTTTGGAGAAATGTACTGTCTTCATCTTCTGGGCTGTTGATACAGCATCACTACCCAGAAGAACATTGACACACTGTCTTAAATCTTCATAAAATAAAAAAATATTTGCCTTTACCATGTTTTAAAAATAAATTTGAAGAAACAGAAATGAATTATGTTTGTGTTTTTCAGCTTGGTATTGGTGGATACAATAGCAAACAGCATGTTCTCCTTGATAAAATAATGGAGAAATTAACTAACTTTAAGATAGATTCAAAACGGTTTGAGATACTGAAAGAAAATGTAAGTACTGAAGTTGTTGTTTTATATTTTACTTCATAGTCTTACAAGAACAAATAGGATATCATTAATTTTATTTCTTCTGCTTCTCGTACCATCAATAATTCTTTCATATCTGCTATCATTTAAATTGTTTACACTTTTTATAAAAGATAAGATTATCACATGAAAATCTCTTTAAATAAGGTTTACTTATTTACTGTGAACATAACATAAAGATGTCTTGTGAATTCGTGGTTTATGCTTGAAGTGTGCCTATCAGTTAAATGACAGTGTCTGCATTTTCAAGAAAACTTTATTGTGTTTGTTGATGAATTAATACATACACTGATATTCTATGTTTCTGCGCAGTATGTTCGAGGACTAAAGAATTTTGAAGCAGAGCAACCTTACCAGCATGCGGTCTATTACCTGGCAGTTCTGCTGGCAGAACAAGCCTGGACCAAAGAAGAACTTCTTAATTCCACTGGTGGTAATGCATTTTGTATTATTCTGTTTGTAGTTTTATAACAGTGCTGTCACTAGCTCAGACTATGTAGCATTGACCACTTCCTTCCATATCTTCTCTGATTCATTAATCTTCCTAACATTTGATGCTGTATAAACTGAGCTACTGAGAGGATTTTTGAATTTGTATTCCTTTGTAAATATTCCCTGCGTGTTTTATATAAACTGATGAAAGGTGTGTGAAACTGTGATCTTTCAGTTTTGCTAAAAAGGGTCTGCTGACTACTAAGTAGCTCTGTCTGTCTTCTCGCATTTTCTCCTCAGTTTCTTCCCATTTTCTTATATCTTTCTGTATGACATCTTTTCTAACCTGCTGTTCCCATCTTGATCTTAATTTTTGGTTGTTTTCTTTTTATCCCCCATGTTCTTCAATCATTCTTAAAACATGCCCATACCATCTTATTATTTTATATGTTAATTTGCCTTTCAAGGCATTTATTTTTAAATTCTCTCATATTGTTTTTATTTGTAGATGGAGTTGTAATATTTCTGTGTAATTAAATAGCCAGATAATGCTGGCTTGGGTCTAGTGGAATAAGTTCAACCTGGTCCACGGCCTGCGGAGACAAGTGTTGAGATGTTCATCGTGGGGATAGTGTTGAGTATTTAAATTTTGTATGCAGTGTTGTAATTCTGGGATCTGATTTTGTTATAGAATTGACACTGGAGAAGGTTGAAGCATTTATTCCACAAATCCTCTCAAAGATGCACATAGAATGTCTTATTCATGGAAATGCTGATAGACAGGTTTGTGTAACTTGTAAAACAGAACATGCATGAAGTGAGAGGTGTGACATTCTCTATGGTTATGGAAAATAGTATTTAAGTTTACTGTCTGTGGTTGGGTTTGTTACTTCAAGGGTTTTGCAGTTTTATTGATATGTTGTGAAATGTGAAGTCAGAAAGCATTGGATACTTATTTCTCTGATAGGTCTTTTCTTTATAAACCTAAGAGTGACTGTAAGGCCTTCTACATTGTAACTTTGCCAAAGTTTTGAAGTAGAAGGGATGAGTTAACTATCTTTTGTTATTTTAAAAATGTGAGGACATTAATTCTGGACATTAAAAACAGTCCATGTTCACTGATAAGTTGACATAAGGAAAATGTGTAGAAATAAAATTCTTATCTTCACATTACATAACTTTGTGTTGTCCGAAACTTGTCCAGACATGCAATGGTCTCATCATTTTGTAATGTGAAAATAAAATTGTGGTCGATGTAGTAACTATAAATATTAAGAAGAATTTGAAGATCTGTGTTGATCTTGTTGAGTTGTTTATGCTCTGTTGCAGAAAGCCCTGAGCCTGGTGCATCTTGTAGAGGAAAGGCTACAGTGTTCTGTGTCCTTATGCCCATTACTGCCTCGCCAGCTTCTGCGCAACAGAGAACTCCAGCTGGTGGATGGTATGATTAATGTCTCTACCCCCTGAATACTCAGGTTTATTTCTGTCATGAAACAGTTTAAATGACTGTTCTTTTGAGACATCAGGGTCATTTATTGCCCATTCTTCCTGTAAGATTTCTGGTTTTCATAGCAGTGGATATGAAGGTGACTGTCTTCTGAGACCTGATGATGGAGGAGGCAGTAAGTACCTCTGAAGCATTGGTCAATTTCTACAAGACCACACAGTGCAACAATCCAGAAGACAGTCATCTTCAGTTCTCTTGTGTTAACCATTTGACTTCCACGTATTTCTTAGCTCACTGACTCCAGTATGTTGAAAGAAACATAGAAAGTGCTTCTGAATGTCTGTCAAATGATGGCTGAGTGTGTTCATATAGGTCTCATCAGAAAAATTAAATACTTTATTTAATATCTGATATTACATATTTATCATATCTTTTGATGATAGTGGCTGTTGGTAGGTTCTACTGTTACAGTATGAATTATGCTGAAGTTCTAGTTTAATATTCAAAATTCTAGCTTTTTCAGATTTTGAAAACACTACCTAACAGAACTGTATGATGTGTACCTCTTGAGAATTGAAGATGCTACAATAATGGATATTGGGCATCAGCTCCTCCTATGGACAGTTGTAGTACTGCGTCAGTGAGTTGATTGTTAAGGAACCAGTTTGTCAGACTGAATAGTAATTGCTTATCCATAAACCAGTTTCCAGCACAGAAACATTACAGACACAATTAGAACCTTCCCAGAGGCAAGATTATAAATTATTAGAAAAGTGACGGGACTCATTTTCAATATCGTGTTCAAAAACCTCATTAACCGAGACCCAGGCTCATCATGAGATGTGTTCATCAACTGAAGACTTGCAACTTCTTTATTTGCAGTTTTACCTCACAAGAGGTTGCAGACTTTATACATGCTGTAAAATAAAACAAATAATATGCCTTATAATTAGTACAATAAATTTGTGAATTATTATATTTCCTATGTCAATATCCAAAATCATGATTTGAAAATTAATTTTACAGATATAAAACATCCAAGCACAACATTTAAAGGAAGAGACTTAAAAATCAAACAAATCAATATAAGCAAAGCAAGATGTGCAACAGTTTTTAAAACAGTTTTTAAAATTGATAGACCTGATGATGGTGTAATACACATCGAAACATGTCGTCAATATAAAATGTAACAAGATCTAGTATCTAATGAAAAAATGTTGTAATTTTAAGTAATTTTAACAACATTTTTAAGTTTGTGTATAGACGGTAAATAAATTATTGTATTAATAAACACAAACATGACGCAATTAAGATATAAAAAAAAACTTATAATTAGGTTGGTGAATTAAATACATATTTTGCTAAAATTAACTTGCACAAATATGAAGTAAATTTATGTATGTTTTCACTGTTTCCATTATGACTGTGGGTTATGTAATAATTGTGTCTTTCCTGCAGGTTGTCATTATGTATTTGAAGTCGGTAACAGACTACATCGCAGTTCATGTACTGAGATATATTACCAGTGCCATCTGCAGTCGACACACACTAACATGCTGCTTGAATTGTTAGTGCAGATTATCGGTGAACCTTGCTTTAACATTCTTCGCACTAAGGTACTGTGAACTGACGTGGGAGAGTGACTTTATGTTAAATATTGTTTGGTTTGTGTTCTGCATTTATTTTACTTGTATAGTGTGTTTTATTAGAGCACAAGTATCGTAGCCATTTTTATTTTATTTTTAGTGTTCATGGTTAAACTTTTTGTGATTATGTTGGTCAACCAATGAATGAATGCTAATGGGAACTGAGGACGTTGTTGACTGTTTTTGTCTGCTTCTTGGGTCTACCAGGGGGAAATCACACAGGGAAGTTGTCTCATTTGTTGTCTGATGCATAAAGAAGTCAGATGATGGAATGATGATATTTACATGACTGCATATGTGCAGTGTAATTTATACTCTAATATTATATGTTCTTATCATCACTGGTGATATAAGTTACTATTGAAGAGGCTCGTTATGGAAATGCTGGACATATTCTACATTTCTTCATCCACAGTAGCATGACTTTCTTGTTATCACAGCTGTGTTGGGGAGGTAGGCAACCAACACAGCCTCAAAACTTTCCTTTTTTCCTGTCAGTAACCAGATCATGGGCCAACTATACACACATAATAACCATTAAAATATAGGTGTTTCAAACATTCCTTGATCAGCTTGACATACTTTGACCAGTCCAGTCATCTTCAAGGCTGTTATGGAATAAGTTGCCATTATTTTAAAATTCTAACTTATATTAGGTCATATCTAGTGTTAAACTTACAAAATGTAACACATTTTAAAATTACTTAGGAATCAACGATGCATATAAAATTACAATTCATATATCGTCAATTTCATGTTAAAGTAAATCTTCTGTTTTGCAGAGAAAAAAGTGCTACATATATTAAGATACTAGGATGAATATGAAATTCTTATGTATTTTTCATCAATTTTGATTCAGTGTGACCATCTTGTGAAACATGTTTTTCATTAAACAATTAAATGTAATGTAGTAATTCCAAAACTTGTTCTATATGTAGATTTCATATTAAAGATTCCATTCATGTCTTCCCATTTTTTTTTCTAGAAATGGGATAGAGTAAAATATGTCAGATTTTCTATACAGTTAGTAACTTGATAGCCAATTCTGAAATTCTGATGAAGTTTTCTCATTAATAAATGTTGTAAAATAGAATTTTGTTTGTACTTATCAGGAGCAACTTGGGTACATCGTGTTTAGTGGGATCCGGAGATCCAATGGAGTTCAGGGTCTTCGTGTCATTGTGCAATCAGAAAGACATCCAAGTTACGTGGACCAGAGAGTTGAAGCCTTTCTGGCAAAAATGGAAGTAAGTGCATTAGTGCTGAATCAGATTTCAGTTCAACATTCAACTGTCTAAAATTATGTCGCACATCATGTGAGCTAGCAGAATGACTATGAATGTTGAGTAAGCAAAAATATGAAAGCGGCTGATGTTGAAGTACCATCCTTCATCATTCAGAACACAGACCAGTAATAGAATAACTACATAAGCTTTTGCTACTCACATATCATATTCATTTGGTAAAGTTTCATTACATACATAGGTAGTTCAAATGTGATTGCGAGTTTTCGTTGTTTCTCGATTTTTCAGTTGGTTACGAACCTGCTTAAAAGAATCGTATGCTGCAGGGCTGGGGAAAGATTGTACATTAAGGGGGAGAGTACCTCTAGAACACTACCAAATATGAATATGCTGTGACCAAAATTCTTGGTCAAATTTTAACCTGCATCATATATGTGATTTATATATTTTTAACTCTCCAAACCCACATATGTGTGCAAAACTACGCACAGCATGTTTATTATGTTAAACATCCACCAGTTTAAGAAAAAATTACAACTCATGAAATGTAATAAAATAAATCAAGCATGCTGTAAATACTTTTCATAGAATTTTGTATTTGACTGTAGTTAAGCTGTAGGGATGCAAATTTCCATTCTAGAATATCTATAATTCATAATTTCCTTTTACTGTGTGGAAGAAACATACGAGAAATTGCCCATAAAGAATGCAAATGCTTTGTGTGTCATAGGTGCGCAAACTTTGAACTTGTAGGCCAAGCCCCTTCACCATGTAGTATTAAGAGTGTTTTACTGTTGGCAGGAATACATTGTGGACATGACTTCTGAAGAATTTGAGAGGCACAAAGAAGCACTTGCAGCACAACGTCTTGAGAAACCCAAGAAATTGTCTGTTCTTTCTGCCCGATTCTGGTCGGAAATAACGTTACAGCAGTATCATTTTGATAGGGCCAATATTGAAGTGGCCCATCTTCGTACTTTGCAGAAGAAAGACATACTGAACTTCTTCAAGGTAACGTGTCATCATTATTAGGCTGATTAAATAGTGGAGGTTATGGCAGGCCGCATGTGGAGAAAAGACACACAAATTTTGGGAGATAAACATCTTGTAAAGTGTCTGTTAGAAACTGTGAAAGAGATGGGAATTCTTTTGTTAAATGTCTTTGATGATGGCATTGTATTGAACTAATTAGTTTGTTTTGGGCTTTATTCATTGCTATTTGGGATTTTAATTATTTTCAAAAGCACTGTTGAAGGGTAGTTCTTTCTTTATCTTTAGGTGTAAAGGGACAACCCTTCTTTCATTGGATCTGAGAGTAGCTCAGCCTGCTAGATCAAATGGAGTATGTATCCTTTGAAGATGGCTGTGTTCTGAGATGTTGCACCATGTATTCTGGTAAAAATTGATTGATGTTTCTGAGATGCTTAGTCTGTCTATCATCAGGGCTATTACCCTAAGGGAGTTTAAGGTGTTCCTTGCATTGACCTGGCAGAGGGGACTGAGTGACATGGAGAAACAGTGAGAATTTAATTATGTGATAGGGTGAACAAAAGAGCTGGGTTTTACATTTTCTCTTATTTATATTATGCTTTCTTCTGAACTGCAGAGTCCCATGGCATTGGATAGCACCCAACTCCTCTGACTAATCACATCATACCTTCCACTGCCAGATCCCTTACCTTTCCACAGACATTCATCCTGAAGTTGGCATTTATAACGTCTGACTAAGAATATCAAACATCTTATGTTGCAGGAACTGATTGACCACGAGGCTCCATGTCGACATAAGTTGGCTGTCCATGTAGTGCCCACGGCTGACGGAGTTGCAGGACGTGGGGCAAATGTTCTGCATGCTGCTTCAGATGGCGAGGTCGTTGATGGATTTGCGCCTCCTCCACCAGGCAAAGAGGTCAGTAGTGTGCATTTACACACCACTCAGCTGTTTGTAACTTTAATGTATCCAGCATTTTGTTTCTGTACATTGTAAAAAATTAACCGTGAAGAATGTTAATATGACTTGTGATCATATCAAAGCAATCACAGGTTGAAAATTGTGTGTTCTTTGTACAGAATGCTTGATGTGAGTACGTGTAAAGTAATTTGTCCGCCCATTCACATTTTATCTCCAAAATTACTGAACATGTTTAATGAAATTTGTGTTCGGTTTGCATGCTAGAAGTTCTCTGGTGAGTTTAATTTGGTTCATATCAGACATACACAACTTGCCCACAAAATGTCTCTCATGCCCTTTGAACAAAGAATACATAAACATACTGATATCGTACATGAACTTCGGTAGCAGATGAACAGGAAAAGCAAATTTAGGAGAGAAAGAGCATGTCAAAAATCTTCCTTTCATAAGAAATTTACTCATGAAATTTCATTGTATTTGTTTCAGCCTACAAAAATTGAAGATATTACAGACTTCAAGAGTAGTCAAGGAATGTTTCCACTTGTTCAGCCTTACATCAGTCTTAACACAAACAACACAAAGTCAAAACTGTAATTATGTCGTGTCCTTGAAGGGGAGGACAAGATTATCGGTTGGTTCTAAACTTTGTGATTGGAATAATTAGTCTTATGCTGACCATATTTTGTCATTGTTCTTCGGTATGTGAACATTAGTGGTTAGTCCATACTATCTTTCTATTTTGCTCTGCGATGTCCTGCCGACTTCACAGAGACTACTTAATTGTCGAGCTTTGTATTTATGTCTAAACACTTTACTGCATTGCTGTAATTATTGTTGGACACTTCTTAATTTAAAGAGAATGAGCAGAATTTCAGAAAGATGTTCAGTTACTGTTCACTGGCCAAGAAACAGTGCGCTGCGTCTTTGCCATGATGCACTTTCAAAGGCAGAGAGTAAACTGAGAGTGTTGCCTGGAACTCAGTGGCTTGTTGTATGTACTAATATAGTAATACAATAATTGCTTTGTAAGATTTGAGGTTTTCACAGCGATGAGTATGAAGATTTCTGTCAGAAATCTTAATTGCTTTAAGTGAATCCTGATATTTCAAGCAAACTGATGTAAAGATACACTAAAGCAGGTCACGTTATTCAGTAGCATCAGGGGCTCAGAATTTTGGCCCAGATCAGATCCTTTGTACTTCATGATTTCCTACAGTCAGTATTAATGTACTACTAGTACTGCTACAAACCTCTGAGTTGGAAGCATCACTATCACCACCATTAGCATAATTGATTAATATATGTAGTAATACATATTCTTTAATATCATGAGTCATTTTGTCTGATGGAGGAAGTTCATTGCATATGTAAAATACCTAATGTTTATCTTCTGGCTGTGGAATTTATGCTGGTAAGTGTTGTCTGTTTACTTTTGTATTTGTTTAAATAATTGTCGAGTTATCAGATTTATGTTGGTGGAGGATAATATTAAAATGGATCTTAAAAAATAGAGAGTGAGAATGTGGACTGATTTTCATGTGGCTCAGGACAGGCTGAACATGTTAATGAACCTTCAATTTCTTAACTAGCTTAGTAACAGTTAGTTTGTTAAGGCCATGGGATAACTGAACCCTCAACACTGCACAGCTCTAAATCTACGGTACAGCATTGTTCTGTGAGTTCTGAGCGTCTTCACTTGCCTGAACTCCGCTGTTTGTGTTGCAGCATAGTACAATTTTAATGTGACCTGGAATCATGGAATCTAGTGACAGCTGCTGTAGTTAGCCATGAAAATGCCTGTACATACGTAGGTGGACGCTGAACTTTCTGTCTCAGGGTGTTTATATGTGTGCGAAGCGTGTAAGCTCGTATCCTTGTTTCGTAGTGAGCCTGGGCAGATTGAAAATGGAACGCAATATGAAGTCGTCAATATCTGGCTCAGTAAGAAGAATTTTTGTGCGCAAGTATGGCATAATGAAATGCAAGGTAAAGCATTTTATATCTGCGTACAGTACGTTATGTGTACTGTCAATTCTGTTTGTTCATCAGCAACAGGAGATAATTTAGTCTGCAAAATGTGAACAAAAAGTGGAAGACACATTACCACACTTGTTTTACCTAAAACTGTAAATTTCAAGTTTCTGTACCAAAATATGTTCATAGATGGGTTGACAAGCTACTGACAGAATGTATTGAGTGCTGTTTGTACTATTAAGGATAAAACAACTGACTGAAGTAGCAGGCACAATTTTAGGTAAGTGTCAAATCTCTTTAAAGATGTTCCTAATGCACTCCCCTTTTGCATTGACAGGATTAATTTATGCTATTAACGTAGCTGGAAATTGCTTTCAGGAGGCTGCAAATACAAAATTCTGAATTTACAATGCAATAAAATTTTTAAGACATGGACCTCATCTTAAATTCCATCTTGCAGCTTAAACTAAAATACCTGTAATTAAAACTGGACTTATCTGTTTCATAATGAACGTTATTAATCCACTATGTAATAATAAGTATGATTAATGGCATAGTGACACAAAAAAGTTGATGTATGATGCAAAAAGGTGACATGGTTCTGTTTTTATCATCATTTTATACTTGTACACTCATTTTTAACATGTTAAAATCTCAGATGACTAAATTCCTGTGACTAGACAATCAGTCCATTTCTGACTAACCCTCATATTAAAATATCATGTCTCCAGAGAAAACTTAAAATTAATGTTTATTTTAAAATAGGTAGTCATGGTGTAAGGGAGAATATAAGTAATGCCAAGTAAATAACTAAATGTTTTTCTGTTATACATTTTATTTAACTGTTTATACTTAATGGACCTGCATACTGTTTTTTTTTAGTTATTCGTAAAAGGTCATTGGCTGGAACCTTCAGTTTATTGTCAGCATGCCAGAACTGTGTATTTTTAGGCCAGTTTTTCTTGTTTCATCTTATATTAACTCTGAATTCCATTCCATTAACCTCCCACCAACACCTAGCTTCCCCTCCCAAAGTATTGCAACAAAGTTGTTATTTATTCACATCTCAGCCACATGCTGAAGATGTTTTTCACAAATGTGTTTGTTCTGCTTCTGTTACGCACTATTGATTCTGTATTTTGTTGGGGGATTGCATCAGATGGTGATGTAATACTTAAACCCCAGTTGCAATCTGATTTAAATGGCACAGCACTAAAACCTCAAGATGGCATTTCTAGTCCAGACCTGAGAGAAAATAGTTTCAGGTTTAATTCAACCAGTTTTACTGCAGCTAGAATTTCATCTCCAAGAGGGAGTGGACAGAATGTTTCAGAGGATACAAAAGGAGAGACAACTGAAGGGGTAGTAGAAGACAATGGCCAAGAAGTGTTGGAGACGCAGCATGCCATGTGCAGAGTCACTACAGAGGAACTTGTATCCACAGCACAAGCAACTGTTACAAGGGTCCTGAAAGGCCTATGTAATACCAGTAAGTTGCATTTCAGTGTTCTCTTGAGAATCTGTAGTTCCTTTAGTTACTAAAGTTAAATGTGAGGACAGTGTGTTGTGACCTGCATCTGACACCTTCAGAAATCTTCCCATTTTCATTTCGTCTTTGAACTCGGAACTGAACACTGTTTGATATATTTTCTGTGTACATGTCAGTGGTGTGAGACTTTCAGGCTGTACCTAGTCTCACCATATTGTTTGAAATAAAGTTTCCAAAACTGGTATCAGTTTACATATTATTTTGTTTGTTATTGCTTTTTTTGTTGTCGTGATTTTCAGAGGAAATGGAGGATCGGTTCCACAACCTGGAATTGCAGCTGGCAGACCAGTTAAATGTCATCAAAACAATGTTAGTGAACATAGAAGACAAGATCATGGAGCAAGATCAGTCAACACGGCAGTCTCAGAAACGCATCATGGGTACCATCTTCAGGCAGTGTCCGTCAGTCCAAGTGCCGTACAGAAATGGGTAAGTACATCATTTTGATCTCCATGTGTGAAAAGGAAAAGAACTTACTACCTTTGTTGCAGGTTTGAGAAACAAGCGCACATAACAATATGGATTACTGAACTTTTGAACTTTGTCCATTGTCTGGTATTAAATTTTTTTTGTTTGAAAACTGTTTTTGTCCTTTGGTGTAGAAAAGAGGGTCACCTATTCTTTTGGGTCCAATTGAAAGAGCTAACCTCTCTTTGAAACAGACCCCACTGAGTAGTTGCCCCACTTCTCTAAATTAGAATATCAGATGATGGACAATGTCTTATAGTCGGCGCAGTAGTTTTCAAGGGAAAGGCTAGGAGGAGTCATTTGTTCTTATCGTATAATGCTGACTGGACCGAGGAGCCCAAACAAAAGAAATACACTGACCGTGCCACCTCAGGTACACAGAGTAGGCCCGTCCGCCAGCTCCCCCACCGGCCAAAAAGTACTTTGCCGACTATAAAACACATACAAGTATATGTTATATTGAAGTCTGTTATGTTTGTATTTCAATCAGACTTGCTTTATTAACAGTCTGTCACCGAGTAAATGCTATTATATTGACCTATTTTCATCTTCTGCTTGTTTTGATATTCAGTTGCTTCATTTTCACGCACTTATACATAAAATATAACCAATTGCATATGATCTAATGTGATGGTTTTTCTGTAATATTTGTGTGTTAAAAGTAATATAATGAAGTAAGATTGATCCTAGCGGTGTGAAAAGAACTCTTACGCTGCATCATAAAAAGGAAAAACCTAAGTAAGATTGTATGCACTTGGTTTTTTTATGTGGAACCACCAGAAAATGGTAATATTACATGCTGAAAAATATGGTGAGAGTATTTAGGCCATTACAAAGGTATTGAATGACAAATAATGTAGTCTATTAATTTTGTGAGCCTAATTTGATAATATTATGATACTGGCTACTGGGAACGACCTGTTCTTCAAGTGCCTAGGCACTCCAGGTCCTAACTTTTCGTTGGCTTTGATCTACAGACATTTGGTAGGACTCCTTGGACGAGGGACCGGCCCGTCGCAAGGCCTCTACCGGTACACAGGACAGCACAACACAGAGAAACGCAGACACATCCATGGCTTGAGTGGGATTCGAACCCTCGATCCCAGTGACCAAGTGGCACAAGGCCCACACCTCAGACCGTGCAGCCACTGCGGACCCCAATATTATAATTGGCAGAATAAATCCTGTAATAAAGGCAAAATTGGCCATGGTACTTGACTAAGACTGGACAATGCCATTTATGTGTATGTGGGAGTGAAGGCAGAGCTCCATGCATTCTTAATTTCAGCACTGTTTTTTGGAGTGATTTTTCACGTGTTACTTAAATATTGGGCGTCTGTGCAGGAGGACAAGTTTGACAACATTTGAAGAAGAGGAGACTGCAAGGACAACCTGGGAGGATGAGGAATCTTCAAGAGAGGTTTCAGAGAGTCCTCGTGATGCGGAGGTGAATCGTTACAATAGCACTATCCGTACAGAACCACTTCCTGGACAGCCTCATAGCAGGTGAGATTCTTCTGTGCTTTGTTATACAGGGCAGATATTTAATGACTTCTGTGTTTGTCTTTTTTTCAAGCACATGATATGAAAATACAGCGTTACCAAAATGTTTGGTGTGCATTAACTAAGAGCAAGTTGCTAGTTTGATTTTGTACAGCCTTTGTAAAAACATTGTAATGGAATAGAGCAACATTCAGAAACGAAGATATGGAATTTGACATAGGATGAAGAGGAAAATAAAGAAAGGAACAAAGAAACAACACTTGCTGTTGTACAAAATAAAGACTGAAGCTGCAGTAGCATTCTTAATATATTTTGGTTAGTCTCACCTCAGTACTTACATAGCACAGAGCCGGGATAGCTCAGTCAGTATACGGGCTGGGCGATCGGGGTTCGATCCCCGACGGGCAGAGGATTTTGCGTCCAGACCAGCTCTGGGGCCCACCCAGCCTCCTGTCCGAGAAAAACCTGCATAATGAGCTTTATAATTTGTGTACAGTGCAAGAAGCCATGTCTTCACCTATTACTGGCGTATCCGAGGTGTGGGATACAAGCTGACGGGATGGAATCACCGTCGCTCCCTCCGCAGTCCCTCCTTTTACATCTCTCCAGGTGGTTATCACATGTACATTCGCATCTACCCACGCCAGAATGAAGAAAACGTGTACGTTCACGTCGGCGTCACAGCAGGCGATTTTGACGACAACCTGTCTTGGCCGTTCAAGTTGAAGCATCGAGTCAATATTCTTGACCAGGTGTTATCTGAAGATGGACAGGAGGATATCAGTTCTCGTGTGTGGGACCCAGCAGCGCTATGTAGTGCTTTCAACTGGCAGAAGCCAACATCGGGCGACAACTATGAGTGTGTGGGCCTGGGCTTCGCTCACAGCGTAATTCGCTCCAGGCACTACATTCGTAATGATGCCATCGTTATCAGACTCAGTGTCTACTTAGATTGAGTCGCTGTATTGCCAGATATATCCACTTGTAACAAGGAAATAATCTGAAAATTAAATTTTGTAGAGGAATTAAATATTATTCGTCTGGTGATGTGTAGGTCAGTGATTTTTATCTTCCTTTACAAGTTCTTTGGTTGACTAGGTAAGACTGAGATTTGAGGTTTTTGCTGTCGTGAAGATGCTGATAGTGGCTTCTGCGTTGTGATGCTATGTGGTAGTGTAGGTGGTTCCCAGAAGATGTTCTTCAAAACCTGGTAACCACCTGCAGCGCTACACGGCATTAAATTTCAGAAGAACACAGTCGGCAATAAGACGTTATTTAGCTTTGAGTCAGATGGACAAAACTTGCAAATTTTGTAACGAGGTTATACGAGAATCCGTGCACTCTTTTGTTATAAATTGACATATGAGAAGTGAATATTTTTACTTATTGTATATGATTTTCAGTCTGTGTATCCAGTTTAATGTTTTTTTCTTTACAAGGTTTGTATCGGATTCGACTGTAGAATAGATCGTGCTGTCTGAAATTTCAAAGTATGTTTTGAAAACGAGGTGCTAGTTTCCCTTCCCCATCACAGATTTATATAGTGAGTCCAATGGTCGGTGATCCTGTTGGGAAACTGTTTCTGAAACCTCCGTTCCTTTGGAAGCTTCAGTACTTCCTGTGATTGTCATCCGGTCTTCAGAAGCTGTTTATTCTGTGCCTTTTGAGTTGAAATTTAATTTAAGAAAACGAGTAAATTTACATTAATAGAGTCGAAGAGTATGGAGAGTGAGAATGTCTGTAATGTTGCATGTTCAGTATATTCAACGAAGGTTTGTTCATCCTGGAATTTTGAAAACCACTCAAAGTTTGCATTCTCTTCCCAGATGCATTTATTAATATTTATGGGTTTCAGGGGCTTTCTAGAAGTTTTTTAGAATGTGATGCAAACTTTGTTTGGTCTTTAAATTTACCTTGTCAGAAATTATAACAGTCAAATTCAATGCTTTTACTTGAAGGCAATATGAGAAGCTGCAGTTATGTCATACTGCTCATATAATTATAAATAATTGTCATCTAGCAGCAATACTCTAGATCCCATCACCACCATGATGGGAGTTCAAATGATTTATACTTCTGCCCATTGTTTTTATTATACTTTAACCTTCTCATCCTCCTTGATTTTGTTTCACAATTCAGACATTTCTTATTACCAAGTTGGCAATTTCGTAATCTAATATAGGGAACTGTTCGAGTATGATTGGACTATGCCATTTTATTGCGGTGATATATGTTTACGATCTTTTACGCTCATTTGAATCTGCCGCTTCTGCACTGTCATTTGTTTCGAGACAGGCAGCGCCGCTGCGGCATAATACAAAGGTTCGGTAATTTGCAGGCAGCGTAGTGCGCATGAAATTACGCCTTAGTGGTCATGGCCGATTGTACGTTATCAGTAATCATAATTATTGCTTACGCAAATGTCATTCATACTCCTATGACCATGGTAAGTTACAACATACAGATTATTATTGTTAGCCACTAGTCAAAGAGTGACATCATACCGAAGTGTTTTGGGGGTTATTTAAGAAGGTTAGTGTTGCAGATATTTCTTGAAGCCTTGTGTTTGTGATGAAAGGCAGATCGACTGTCTAGTTTGAAGTCGGAACGCAGATGTGCTTGAAAGTCAGTGTTAGACCGTTGTTTATTATAAGATTTATTGTGCTGGAACCCTTAAAAGTCGATGTAGAACAGTTGTGAAATACAGTAATCTGCCGTCAAACATGCCTCAATGTTTACATTTTAAAAACTTCAAGCGATCTAAATTAACTACTGATATAGCCCTAAGACGAACAGCCAAATACGATTACAGTCTCACGCACAATATTACGAATTCCCGATAATTTGTGTAAATACGTCAAAACAACGGGGACCAGACATAAACAATAGATAAATGTAACCTCTGGGATCGGTTGTTACGAAATTCAATCAGCTTTTGTCAACAACATTTGTGTCTGCAATAAAAACGCACCACGACCACATATACCATACACAGAGATTCAAAATAGCAAATAATGCATGTGTGAAACTCCTGTGTTCACGTCTTCACTCCAGTTCATAGAAATTACCTTGCAGGTTACAGGTTAGCGTAGTGATAATGCTTTACATTTGCCTTCAATAGGTAACGGGTCGAATCTCGGTCAGAGTACCAGTCATCCTTGGGCTTTTGGTGGTTTCCCTGTGTTCGTCGAGACGATTACCAATATAATACCTGCAAACAGGCTACAATCACCTTCCAAATTCTTATCTCTGATTTTGCCAGATCAGTGGTGCTATATAACGTGTATTTGAAACAACATAATTAAATAACCGAAGGATAACATCAGGTTGTGCCTAGTGGGCCTACCCAAGTGTTGCTGTGAGTCATGGCTATTTCCCACACACGCTTCATATACATAAACCTTGCTTATGGAGTGATGCCGCAGGGCGGTCGGGAGGTAGGCACACTCCTTTGTCGTAGATGCCTACCCCAGGTTTCAGATGTGTCGGGAAGGGCGTGGAGCTGAAGCTAGTGAGCGCGGCGAAAAATTCTTCAGGGCCAAATGCATGAATTTTACATAAAGCCGAAGGTCATTTTTGCAGAGCGCTGAAGTATCATACGTGCTAGGTGAACAAAAGGTTGGTATAAATATCATCGCATGCTTAGGCACGTATTTCGAAGATTATCTGTGTCTGCCCTTCCACCAACAAAGCTGTTAAACAACGAAACAGATTTCAACTAAATTTGGTGCTGTAGAACTTCACTAAGTTGTGTACGGCCATTTTGATTTTGATTTAATTCATTCCTAAAGGCACTTTAAGGGTCTAAACTTTAGACTCTAAAGGAACGGTAACGGAAATATTCTGAGATTTCGATAAAATTCATTTTTAGGCATTAGGGCGTACTTTAGCCTGTAATTGTATTGTTTCAAAGCTGTCGCAGTACAGACATCACACTCCACCGAGTTGGACATTATTTCGCCTTTAATTTCATTCAACATTCACCATGTCGAAACATATTTGCAAATAAAAGTCTAGATTTTAGTTACATCCATATTTTATGTGAAGATGGCTGTCTTATGGGTTCTTGAGCTCTGTAGTGTCGTAGAAATTGGTCGACGTTTCATATATGATTACAACCATCATCGTCAGGTGCGAATAATCCTGAAGTACTTCTGAAACGTCGGTCAGATTCTGCGAGAGACAACAGCATAACATCCCAAAAGACAGCCATCTTCGGAAGGATTAAAATGGAGCTTAGAGAAATATGGAGTGCATTTGTAGACTGGATTACTGTGGCCCAGACCTGTTTCTGTGTGCACGAATTGAAATTAAGGAATCATTCTACAGGACGTGTGTTCGACGCCCACAGTCTGGTCTTCAGACAGTGATGCAAGCATTGAAGGAAACCAACTTTGACACACAAGTTAGACTGTCTAGTTGCTGAGGTTGGGGGCCTGCAGTAGACATGGGGTTATCAACCCTAGGTTCGAGGACCGCATGTGGCCCCCGTTTTACCTTTATGCTCCCTTAAGACGTGTTATTGAAATTTGATGTTGATAGGAAAGTAAGATATTGTAGATGCGTCATATTGTGATTTATTTAAATAGTATTAAAAATATATTAAAATTAGCCGTCAATCACAATATAATATGATTAATTTCAACTATTTATTTTGTTTTCTATATTCAATTTCATTAATAGTTTGAAACCTTTACTTCACAGTCCATATACAAAACATTGACATCACTACGAAATACGAAATACAAACATATTAGTGACCTATGATACTACAACGAATGAAGAAACAATATAAAGGACAAGAACATCATAAGAAAAATGAAAACAAAAAAACATTAAAAATCAGTAAAATATCAGTAATTCAGTGAAAAGTTTATATACATAACACCAGATGATGGCTATATATAGCCGAAACATGTCGTAAATGTTCCACATGTAAATCGAGTACTCGATAGGGAACGTAAAATGATATTTTAATCTTTTAATTATAGGAAAGTAAATAAAACAGTATGTTATAAAGAACCAAGTTGTAAATTTTAAGACGAATGCAAATTTTTCAATAGTTTAAGTTTTCGTCGAACGATTATACTTTGTATTGTACTGAAATATTCGTGTCTAATTATAATAGGGCATAAGCAGAGATTTGAAAGTTGAAGCCGGATTTACACTAATTTGTAGTGTACTCGTTTTGCGGGGAAATGAAATGCGAACTCGAATTGATGTAAACAAATCTTAAAATTATTGAACTTTGTTGTCATGTTGAAAACGAAGTTAAGCAGAGCGGTATAGTGTCTAAATAAGAAATTAGTATGTTTTGGTGTATCTTTCTGAACGAATAATAGTTTTAACAATTCTGTCGATAGTTTCGTTTCGATTATCATAATTTCTGATTAGCATTGAATTGTTTTCTTCTCAAATTTTCATAATACCGAATTAGAACAAACTTTATTATTTCTTTTCTTCCCACAAGTTTCATTAGATATACCAAGGTTTATCTGTATTTTATTATATAGTATATAATTATTCTTTAAAGTCGATCTTAAAGAAATAGAAAGTGAAGGTTTGGACTGAGTTCAACTGGCTCAGGATAGAGGCCAACTGTAGGATGTTGTGAATAGTGTAATGAGCCTTCGGGTCCCATAAACATGTTGAGAATCGTTTATTAGCTGATCGGCTATCAGCTTTGCAAGTTATATGTTCGTGTTTCATTTTTTCGCTGTCCCTTATGAGAGTACGCGTAGAATATTTTGGAAGTCGATGTCTCTCCATTCGTTCCACGCGGTCCTGCCTGTTCCTCTGAGAAATTATGTGTGTTTATTTTAATCGTGGGAAATGTATATGCATTGTGAATTCGATCAAATATTCTGCATCTCACTGCTGGTAGGATAAATCTCTGCTGCTTACATTCGTTTTCACTGGTTTATAGCAGAGTCCAGCGTTCTGACCCTTAAAGCAACGCGGGTTACTGAACCATCGTATGTGTTTGTGAAAAGATTGCTGCAACTTTCTAGAAGTCAGTTGTAAAAATAATAGCTTGGTGTATGACCCTTCAAAGTTGAAGAGAATGAACTTGTTTGCACTTTGTTTCAGCATTTTCTTTGCGTGAAAACCAGCTGTCATGGCTGAGGTTTATCGTCATTTTATTTAGTTTCTACTGAGGTTTTCCTTAGTTCCTCCAGTAAAATGTCGGGACTGCCCCCCAAATTAGACCACGATCTCCTCCTTACATATTATTTTAAATTAATAATTCATTGATCATATTATTCGATGTCATGTAGCCTGATCTTCTGACACGCCGTTTAACAAATCTTAAGTTAACAAGCGGTACTCAAAAGTAGAATTGAAGTGTCTGACTCACCCCGTTATTGTCGCTTCAGTAGAAGTTCTACTTGTCTGATTATGATTGAACGCCTTAAAGGTGCGCAACCCAATACACAGGACAAGAAAGGGAAGAAGATTACAGAGGAAGACCATCTCCTGCCATCACAGCTAAAAACATTCTGTTGGAACACACTCGTAATTATCTTCGAATTCTTTTCGCACCATGGATTATTGCATCAGCTTCTGATCGTCTCAAAGTCTTCTGTAAAACTTCGGTTCCCACATGTTTCATGATGTCACATTCACGGAATACCAGCGAAGAAGAATAACTCCATGAATCAGAGTCATCCTTCAGAAGCTAACAGTAGTTTAGCTAGTCAAATTCTTCGTCTTTTATGGTGACAACATTCACGGTAGATGGATGCATCTACGGATGGGTGAAATGAATGATTGGGTAAATTGATGAATGAGTGGATGGATTAATGAACGGGCAGATGAACGTCAGGTTTTGATTTTGGTCTTGTGGATTGTGATTCCGTGGATGAATAGATGAATGACTGAAGATTATTAAAGTGAAACGTTTCTTGGATAGTCGGTTCTTCCTTCGTGGGTGTTTTAAACGTGTTAAGTCCATTTACGTCTGTCGTTGACTGTACATGAGCACATCGTGACTGATTGTTTCCGCAAATAAATAACCCAGACCTTCCCCCAAGGTGATCAGATGTGAACGATCTGACAGTTACCCGCACGGTTTCCAATGAACCGTGCCGCGTTCTAAAATTGAGTAATGGTTGCCAAGTGTTTACATTAGAGGCTGGCCAAACAACTACGAAGTGACTGATTTCAGCGCTGCCTTCTCAGCGAATATTCACAACAAGAAGTTTTCATTTTCAGTGTTAATTTACAGCGAATTATCTACCTTGTGTCACAGAAGGCTGTGAAGTAGTTCTCCACCAAAGAAGTTGCGTCACCATTCGTTTCTTAAAGCCTTTAGTCGGGATTTAAGAAAAACAAAAATAAAGGAACATGGTTCCTTTTCTCTGATACAGACTGCAGTAGCTGACGCAAATGAATTATTACTTGTCAAGTGAGAGAGAGAGAGGAATGTGCCGTTTGGGAGGAGAG